TCCATCCATCCATTCACCCAATCCATCCATCATCCCTCCCTCCCTCTATCCATCCATCCATCCATCCATCCATCCATCCTTTTAAACATCCATCCATCCATTCACCCAATCCATCCATCATCCATCCATCCATCTGTTCGTCCATCCATCCATCCATCCATCTGTTCGTCCATCCATTCATCAGTATTAAACATGATTAGACCTCCTCTGTACTTAGACCCATTTTTTCTTTATGGGTTTGATTCAACATAAATTGCAACTCAAAGATTGAAAGAAACTGTGCTGCTCCAGAAACATCAGCCCATTAGAAGTAAGGACAGAGGGAGAAAAAAAAGCAATGAAGAGGGAAAAAAAGAGAAGAAAAAGGGGACCAAGAACAGACAGGGGTCTATAAATAGTCTTCCCTGCAGCCTGAGAGTAGACAGTGAGTAGACCAGAGACATCGATGTGACAGCCTCCCCACTAAAGACACTTTGTGCCTCTGCATGAAAACGAAGGGTTCAAAGAAGTCTGATTCATCAGTTTTACTCCTAACTGAAAAATAAACAAAATTATTTTAAATTACACAACAAACTCTCAGTTTTTAGGATCTTCTTGCAGAATAAGGTTATGATAAAACACAGAAAGCTGCATTTTCCCCTCTTTCTGGCACAAAGGCAGCTGTTATGCATGACTGCTCCAGAATAAATTATTCAAACCAACATTTAGACTTTGTATTATTTATCGAAAAGTGACAAGATTCAGAGGAAATATTTTAAAATGCTATTTTAGGGCGCTGTCCTCCCAAAACGTCCCAAGATGCACCTCGTCTATCAGTATTCACTTCCAACTTTTCTAATTATATCATTTTTTTTAAATATCAGATGCATTTTTTTTATAACTTCAGAGACTTGTGTGATGAACAGCAGTTTGTAAAAGGTGAGTCTAAAATTAATCCTGGTTATGTAACACTGTGTTCTTTGAAGGCCTCATATTTCAGAACTGCAGCCGTTAAAAATAAAACAAGAGATCTGAAATGCTGCTTTTTAAACTACGGATCTTGCTGCTTTGAACATTTCAACTGCAAGAAATGTGAGTAAAAAGCTGCTCCCCTTCATGTGAGTTTCTTCTGCAGTGATAATTTAGGTTTCAGCGGGTGTGTGAAACCTTTTAATTGTAGTACGGTGGGAGGATCCCGCTCAGCTCTCTGCTGGGGAAGGTGGATAGAACCTGAACATATTTTCTGTTTTCAGTGCTTTCGCATTGAAACATCTCGCCTCTGCTCCTCGTCATGACATTCTTTCACCCCAACAGCCGTGCTCCACTTTACAACCGGCTCCCCAGGTGCCAGCTGGTTGATAAATCATACCTTGCCTTGTTTGTGGGTCCGCTGTCTGTTATCTAAGCTGGTGACTCATTATGCATGTGGGCCCGGGGGATTCCCCACAGTGTGAGGGAAGAAGCGGGCCTCTGTCACTGTGCGGCCTGCAGGGGACGTCGCAGTTGGACCGACGGGGTCAGACGCAGGGAATAACAGCTCGGAGACGAAGTACGAGGCTCTGTGCTGGCTCTGAGCGTGGAAACTAAAAAGGAGTTAGGGCGTGGGAGCAGACGTTTCCTCTGACCACCGGAGAAACAAGGACACCACAGTTACCACCTCCCCAAACAAAGACTCTATTAAATACAGTAGAGAAGGACACGAGAGGCTCAGGCAGGATGCTGGACTGCTACGGGAGTAACAAGAAAAAAAAAAAAGAGCAGTCATACAGTGAAGTTACTACTGTGTATAAATGCTGTATTGTGCTGTTGCGTGGCAACTGTTTCCACAGAAATCTTTGCTCAGAAACACTCCTCTTCGTTCGGTCGTCACATAACTGCATCGAGCAGAAAAATGGGCTGACTGCAGGAATACGAATGAACCTTTCGAGTTGGCAGAGAGCATTTTTGTAGTTAAAATCCTTTTACAGATAATCCAAGGCTGGAAAAACAAACGTGTTATTTTTCTAGTTTTTCCACATTTTCTTATATTTCAGGATCCAAACTTTTTATTTTTTGTTGTTTTGGGATTTTACTGGATTAGATAAACCACCTCAGGACTGCTGTAACTTCAAGAATAATGATTGAAGGCTTTTATCACAACAGCAAATACTTAATGTTTTGTTAATGTTTGACCTGATCTGACACTAAAATACAGCGGGTAAAATAAGTATTGAACACGTCAACATTTTTCTCAGTAAATATATCACTAGAGGTGCTAATGACAAGAAATTTTCACCAGATGTTGGTAACAACCCAAGTGATCCATACATACAAAGAAATCAAACCATAAATGTCCAGAAATGAAGTTATTTGTAATAATGTGGAATGGCACAGGGAAAAAGTATTGAACACATGAAGAAAGGGAGGTGTAAAAAGGCATGGAAAGCCAAGACACCAGCTGAACTCTCTCAGTAATTAGAAAGCAAGCCTGCCCCTTGTCAGTGCAAGTTAATATCAGCTGGTTCAGTCCCAAATGATGGYCAGGTATCACAAAAGAACCATCTGATGATGGGTAAAAGTAAAGAGCTCTCTCAAGACCTTCACAACCTTATTGTTGCAAAGCATAATGATGGCATCGGTTACAGAAGAATGTCTAAACTTCTGAAGGTTCCAGTGAGCACTGTTGGGGCCATAATTCAGAAGTGGAAAGAACATCATTTCACCATAAACCGACCACGACCAGGTGCTCCTCACAAGATTTCTGATAGAGGAGTGAAAATAATTATCAGAAGAGTTGTCCAAGAGCCAAGGACCACTTGTGGAGAGTTTCAGAAAGACCTGGAATTAGCAGGTACGTTTGTTTCAAAGAAAACTATAAGTAATGCACTGAACCACCATGGCCTGTATGCACGCTCACCACGCAAGACTCCACTGCTGAAGAAACAGCATGTTGAAGCTCCTTTAAAGTTTGCTGCACAACATTTAAACAAGCCTGTGTAATACTGGGAGAATATAGTCTGGTCAGATGAGACCAACATTGAACTGTTTGGATGCCAGAATACACATCATGTTTGGAGGTCAAATGGCACTGCACATCAGCCCAAAAACACCATACCAACAGTGAAGTTTGGAGGTGGGAACATCATGGTGTGGGGCTGTTTTTCAGCATATGGTACTGGCAAACTTCAAATAATTGAAGGAAGGATGAGTGGGAAAATGTACAGAGACATTCTTGATAAAAATCTGCTTCCATCTACCAGGATGATGAAGATGAAACGTGGCTGGACATTTCAGCAAGACAATGAGCCCAAACACAAAGCCAAGGAAACTCTCAGTTGGTTTCAGAGAAAGAAACTAAAGCTGCTGGAATGGCCCAGCCAATCACCTGACCTGAATCCAACAGAAAATCTATGGAAAGAACTAAAGATCAGAGTTCATAGAAGAGGTCCACGAAACCTTCAAGATTTGAAGACTGTTTGTGTGGAAGAATGGGCCAAAATCACACCTGAGCAATGCATGCCACTAGTTTCTCCATACAGGAGGCGTCTTGAAGCTGTCATTGACAACAAAGGCTTTTGTACAAAGTATTAGATAAATTTCAGTAAGTGTGTTCAATACTTTTTCCCTGTGCCATTCCACATTATTACAAATAACTTCATTTCTGGACATTTATGGTTTGATTTCTTTGTATGTATGGATCACTTGGGTTGTTACCAACATCTGGTGAAAATTTCATGTCATTAGCACCACTAGTAATATATTTACTGAGAAAAATGTTGATGTGTTCAATACTTATTTTACCCGCTGTACCTACAAATCATGAAACCAGTAAAACTGACAGCAGCAGTGATGACAACAGATACATAAACTTGAAACAATTATTGGAAATAGTTCATTTTCTCAAGGGAAACACGGCTGTTTGTAATAAGCTGGAGGCTGAAGGTCCAAACCAGGAAAATGAACTGGATTCTTGGTCCAAAAGATAGAAAAACCTCTGCTCAAACATAAAACCTTTATCGTGTGTTTGTGGAACTTTTTCAGCTACACAAAAAATATAATTTTTGCACAACTTTGTAGAAACACAAACAAGTCTCTCAGGTTCAAACTGCATCCTTTTTTTTCATCCAGTGAATTTGAAAAGTTGATGAATTTTTCTCGATATGGATTGAATCTCATCATTAAAGAGGCGATGGTGAGAACCACCGACCTAAAGGATGTTTTATTCTTTTCAGTGGGAGAAATAAAGTGTAAACGCCCAGAAAAACTGATGACAATCAATTTATATATATATATATATATATATAAATTTCACCAAATAAACATTTAGAACTTCAAATAAGACAACAGAATCTCAGACTGATTGAAACAATTAATGCTATTATATAGTTTTAGCACTATCTAGTTTTAGAAGTGAAATATTTGTGCATTAAATATTTCAAAATGAGTCTCAGAAGAAAACAGCAGAAATAATGTGACAATGCTCCCATCTAGTGTTTGATATCCAGAATTACAGCTGAGCTGCAAACAAAACCAGCATTCAAGTTCTGTTTAAATATTTATTTCCTTCAGATGAAAATGTTTGCTTTCTGTAGCTTATTTACTTTTTTGCATCCATAGATTTAATTTTCAGTGCATCACGCCAGCTGCAGCGGAAATATCAGTTCTGATTCAAAGCACGCAAATGTGTCAATTTAAACAAATTTAAGATATTTTTCAGAAAAAAAATTATAAAACAGAGGAAAGCGAGCTGGAAAATACAAGAAGAAAAAAAGGGAAGAATGACATAGAGAAAGGTAGAAAATCAGATTTTTTCCAGCTTTAATCTGTAAATGTGTCACTTTAATCTGCGCTCTCCGGAAATGTTTCGTCTTCGTACAAGTCCTCCAACTCTCCTTCTCTGCTTCCCTCTTTGCTGATTTTTCTGTGGGTGACAAACGTTTGTTTTCATTACGTCGCAGGTGGAAGGACGAGGAGGAAGAGGAGCGGGGAGGCTAGACTAAAAATGTCAGGGGATTGTATGCCTTTTAAAGCACAGCTCATCATTTTTCTGCGTCCGTATCGCCATCAAGATGGGCGGAGGACGGAAAAACCCAACAGAAACTGTCAACAAGTTTTTATTTTAGGCCCAGATGACAGCTTTGTTTTGTCTCGTCTGGTTGAAATCCTCTTAAAGCTGAACAAACAAATGATGAGCTGAGCGGAGGGTGAAGCTCTAAGAGTGAAGCTCAGCCTAAAATGCTTTTGTAACATTTACCTCAGGGAGGGATGAGGCAAAGGCGAAGACCCCAGTGAGCCCCATAAACCCCTGCAAGAACAAAACCTTATTATCTTTAAACACATCTTATGCTGCAGCAGAAAAAAAAACTGTTTTAACATGAAAAAAACATTTACTGTCAGTGAATATGAAGGAGCAGTTAGTTTAGTTTGAGGATAAAACTAAAACATGAAAATTTCTGTGATTTTCAGTCAGAGTTTGTGAACTTCAGTTCATCAGTTTTTCTCTTCATTTATGACAATATGGACCAATTTGTCTGAAATAAAGGTTAATAATAATGTTTTAAAGGGTAGGAAGTTATTTAACACTTGATCCTGTGATCGTGGAAAAGATGTTTTTCAAATTAATGATCTGCATCAAGCAAAATAACCTTAACTGTCAACAAAAAATCTTTTAGCAGTCATACGGAAACATCTGTGCTGAAGAGTGAAACTTCTTAGATTCACAGTTTAAAGGAGACATATCCTGCTTTTGGGGTCTTTATAAAGTGGAACTGCAATGCTTTGGTCTCAATTCTGAGCTGTGTCTCAGGTCAACTCATTTTGAGGCTGTCTCTTTAAATGCTTCCCACCCCGCCCCCCTCCAGCTTCCAGAGCGGTTCATTCTAATTTGACAGAGGGGTTTACGACTATATAGCTGCGCAGAAAAGTTAATTAATTAATTAAGACGTCAACAAGGGAAGACTTGTCCATCCAGCCTTACATGTTGGAGCCAGAGGAGAATGAAGACCACCAAACTGCAGTTGGTAAGTCCAGACTTTAGTTGGCAGTTTAGTCGCAAATAATTTGACTCAATAGTTCAGAAAACATCATGGAGGATACAGAAAACTGAACGGGTTGAAAAACACGACTCAAACAGATTATAAAGATATTTAGCAGCAGGAGAGACTAAATTAAACTTTCTGCACTCTTACAGACTCGAAGTCCACAACAAAATGTATTTAATGGCAAAAAAAGTGGATTTTGCATTATGTCTACTTTAATAAAACCTCCTATCAGAGAATGGCAGAACATTAGATTTGATCTTTTGGACCAACAACACGTGAAAACACAAGACGTTTGCTTCATTTTGTTGAGGTATTATATGTTAGTAGGGATGGGTCCCTTCGACATTTGAATCGATTCGATACCAATATCCAGTACCGGTACTTAACTGTACCAATTTTCAGTACTTTGTGTGTGTTGTGATGTTTTTTAAAACATACTTCTCAATATACAGTATAAAATTTAACAAATATCAAGACAACATCCAACTCCTTGTATTATAACATCAGTCGATTAACTAATTTCTTTAAGGTGAAAACTCTTGAAAACAACAACTGTTTTGTCTTATTGAACAAATTAAAGTCCAGCTCCACGTGTTTCTATTGATGTCATTTCCCTGCTAGAAAAATTGTGTGACGTGAGCTCCTAAACTGTGCTGCTTTAGTGGAGGTCTGATTTGAGAAACTACTTCCTGGTTTGGGTTCTGTGTTGCTGGAATAGTTGAGCCAAAGATTTCAGACGTGTTTTCAGCTGATGAAAACACTCCTGTTTGAATGAGACCTCAAACAGACAGGAGGCGATGAGGAGACGAGAAAGGCAGGAATGGTAAGAAGGAGAGGGTTCAAATCATTTATAGGCTGAAAAACAGAGAACTGCAGAGGACAGCAGGAAGACTAGAAATAAAGTATTGTTTTTCTGTTTGCTCACTAAAACAGATGAAACGTTTGTCCAAAACAAAATGACTTATTCAGCAACAAGGAGCGGAGGAGCTTTACTTTACTAAATTCATCAAGATTTCGTCTTTACAGCAAGACCTGGAGTAAGACGTTTCAGTGAGTGGGAGAGAGTTTGCTGCTGATGGCTGTGAGGAGGAGGAGGAGGAGGAGGAGGATATAGTTGCACATCTCTTCACACGGAGGTGTAATTAGCTGCAGCCCTCACTGACAAACCCCTCTTGTTGGTAGAAAACAGAAGCAGCCCGTCCTTTGCTGCTGCAGCTGAAGCCCCCCGTTCAGCCTTTTTAAAGATGCTTTTAGTGAACCCTCAAAACTCAAACCCGAAACACAACAAACGCAACACAAGGAGCTCGTCAGAATCCAAAGGTCCGGGCGCTTTGTTGCCGTGTGAAGCGTGGAACTGATCTATTTTTAATCCAAGCATCTGCTGGCTGTTTTGTTTTGTCAGAGGCCTAATCGCAGAGCTGGCAGAGTGCAGCGGAGAGGATTTGCTGAGTAGGCTACTTACGTAAGAAGACCTCCAGGGGCAGACATGGACCTCTCTGCTCGCCTGCCCTGACACTCAAAGGGATTACTGAAAGACCGCTTCCTCAGCATGGACTTCACCAGAATCTGAGGTGGCATCACAGAGAAAATAAACACAGCTCTGATAAGAGTTAAATACAGTGTGTGTATTAAAGTTGTTTAAAAGTCTCATCTTTTTATGTTTTCCTGGAAAAATTAAAAAATAAGTCTTATTTTTGGTGCTTTTGGAACAGATTCTGATGAATCAGCATAAAAAAACTGAACTGTGGAAAGACTTTTTCTTCTCATAAAAATGATTCAAACACTTCGGACGTCAGATGAAAACTCACCACGGTGGAAAGGCTGGGGATGAGTTTGACGCTGTTCTGCACCTCCTCGTCGGTGACCTCCACCGCCGTGCAGTGCTCCTCCTCCAGAGGGAGCGGGTTGGAGCCGTTCTCCGTCACCCACGGATGGAGCTGCGACACAACGCGCATGTTTGAAACATGTTTATCATGTTCAAAAGCTGCGGCGTTCTCACCTTCATCTCAGGGAGGGTGATTCTTAACGCAGGGTTTTTATGCAGAGTCTTCTCAATGAGATCTTTCAGCTCGTTGCTTATTGATGGCCTGTTGATAAAACAAAAACAAAAATAGGGGAATAACATGTTAAACAATTCACATTTTAATACTTAGCCTGGTAAAACTAATACAAAGATCAACGATTTACCATAAGCTTTGGTACATATGAAAAAATAACTTTTCATTTAATTACTAAAAAACTCTAATATGTGTGTCTTAAATATGTGTTCTAAATAGACAATAAACACCGTGGATGAAACTAAAGAACAGTGATGTGATGGTCAAATTTTTTTCAAGAGGTTCAAAAAATACATTGATTAAATTGTAGGGGTGTAAGAAAATATCAATACACTGAAATATCGCGATATTTCATTTCCCGATACTGTATCGATTCTCTAAAGCCCTGTATTGAATTTTTATTAAGGTTTAAAATGTCAACTTTCCTGTTCATTTTTATGTTGTAGTTCAGCCTCTGACCACTAGTTGGCAGCAGTGAGCCAGCCATTTGGCTCCTCTACCTCTTGAGCGCCAGAGAGTAACGGTAGCATTAGCATTGTAAGTAAACATTAGCTTCATGCTCCGATAGCTGAATCTGAGTGGAAAAGACCGACACCCTCTGCCTTCTAAGCTGAGGTAAGGTTACCAGAGTCCTTTATTAGTCAGAATGTCTGTATTTTAAGCCAAATTTAAGTGTTTCGTGTGCTTTTTTCCAATAAATCACTTTCTGGATGCAGGTCAGCTGATCCCAGAAACTCTGTGTGCAGCAGCTTCATATCATGTTTACTGAACTTTATGACAATACATATTATAATAATAATATAATATATATAATATAGGCTGTTAAGTGTGTTGGGTTAGCATACTGTTATAGTAAAATAATAGAGCCACTAAAAGCTGCCACAAATATATTTTCAAACTATTTATTGGCAAATGTAGTTTAATAATTGTAAACATGTATGAAATAAAAAAATATGGAACAAATAAAATACATACAAAACATACTGAGTTTTTGATTTAATAGAATTTTTGGACAAAAAAATTGCAATGTGCCGCCTTGCTTACAGTATCGCAATATATCGTGATATATCGTATCCTGACCCCTTTGTCATGATATGTATCGTATCGCCAAACACACAACCCTATTAAATCGATTTATATGCTTAATATAAAGCTTCAAATTTTACAGGTTAAAAAACAATCATTTGTTTCATACGTTGTTGTATTCTGTTTTTATTTTTGTAGCTTTGAGATTTCTTGGACAAAAAAAGGGAACAGGTGTCAAAAATTAATTTAATTTTTCTCTATTTAATGAATTTATGTGGAAATAAAAGACTCCAGCGTCAAGATCTACTAACAAAGGCTTATTGCTTCTTTAAAATCAATCAATTCAAAAATAAATTGCACATTTCTGTGCACAAAACCTTTATTCACTCTAAAAAAATTAAAAGTTGAATTAATTTAACTGAGTTCGAACCAGTTGATGTTACTCATTCATTTTTTTAGAGTGTTGTTTCCTGTGTTTTTATTTAAATTATTTTGTTAAAATGTGTTGCGTTGGCTTACGTCTCTGGAAACTCCACAGGTTTGTTCTTGATCTTGTTGTGCAGAGAAACGATGTACTCGTCATAAAAAGGACACTGGGTCAAAAGAAACACAGTGAAAATGAAATAAAACCTGTCACATTGGGATCGGTGAATGTGCACCACAGTGAGATTACCTTCCCAAAAACAAAACAGTACAGAGTGACTCCCATGGCCCACACGTCTAACGCCTGTGGAACAAACAGAATGGGTCATCGTCATGAAAACACATCACACTAAAAAACAAACAAACGTGAAATAAAACAACGACCACCTCACTTTTCCACTGAAGCTCTGTTGCTGATCACTCATCATCTCGGGAGCCATGAAGGCCGGCGTCCCCGCCGAGCTGGACAGCAGGGCGTCCGCCCCCTCGAACTCGTTGCTCACGCCGAAGTCTGCGATCTTAACGTGACCGTCGTCTCCCAGCAGCAGGTTGGACGGCTTGATGTCTCTGTGGATGATCTTATGGTAGTGCACTGCAAAAAAAAAACAAAAAAAAACACAAACATAAACTAAAGATTTGATTTTCTTTTCTACAAAACAAATAAAATTAATGAATATACACTTCGCACAAAAAGTAAAGAAATTTGTATTTGGTAGACTGTTGGTTGTAACGATGCTTCTTGGCAATAAATCTTACAACTGGCAGCATCAAAACAAGTGTCAGTAACAACAGAATAAGCTGTTTGGCAGAGAAGATTTGGCAAATTTTCATGTGCACAACCCACATACGCAGCTCTACTGCTAATCCCACAAATGTATGTTCCTTACAAATGTGGCACCATTTAAAGGGGAAATTAACAGACTTTATAAGGCTTATTGCCAAGAAGCATTGTTACAAGAAAGAAATAATCTACCAAACACAATTTTTTGTGCTAAGTAGACATAGCTAAGCCTATATGTATAAACACATCTGTTACAATATGTTTACAAAAAAATTCAACCCAAAAGCATTGAAAAATATTTGAACATTTATCATGTAAACATCACAGAGCTCAATTTACACTGAAATAATAAATCCTTTTTATTCTTTAAATCTTTTTCTCTAATGTCTTTTTGTTTTACTACTAAAGTAGGTACTAAAAAAATTAGGATTTTCTGGTTCCTACACATTTTGAAAAATAAATTTCTTGTTTACATGCAAACAAACAGTTAAAATGCTCCCAATGAACTTAAAGATCCTCAAAATAAAAATGGGATGTAGCTGTTATTAAAAAAAAAACAATAAAACCCCAAATATCTGCTTATCAAAGAACTTGTTCACCAAAGAAATGTTAAATTTCAGCATTTACATATATAAAAGTAATGCTGCAAGATTTTTGACTAAAACAAATGTCCATACCCAAAATGTGAAAAAAAAAAGGTATAAATGTAACTTACAGTACTCTATACCCAAGACGACGTCTCTGAAGTAAAACAGAGCCTGCTCCTCCGTTAAGGTTTCATCTGTGGGCACCTCTATCACCGGCCTGACCGGCAGAGAAGGAAAACAACGTTTTACTCACAACATCGACTCCTCACACACAACCTCTGCAGCACTGAAACGTACCCTTTAGTCACCAGCTCGAAGGCTTGAAGACAAAATCAGAATTTAAACAGAGGTCTACAAAGTACTTGAAAAAAATAACTAAGTAAAAGTAAAATCACACGAACAGAAAATGACTTTGGTAAAAATACATTTCACTGATCAGAAAACTACTCAAGTAAAAGTCATAAAACTGTTCACAAAAACTGGGAAAGTAAAAGTAAAGGTACTTTTACACACTCTCTAAGAAATAACCTGTTGAATTTACTGAACCAAACTGGCTCCACTAAGCCAGGTTGAGTAAATTGAGCATGATGTATATTATTTGCTCAATTTACTCAACTATACTTAGTGGAGCCAGCTGACTTGACTTTGTTGAGTAAATTTGACTCTTTTCTTTTTAGAGTGCAGAAACATCTTTCATGATGAGTTTGAACATATTTAATGTTGTAATGAGTAACTAGGTGTTACATTTTAAAGCAAAGAAGTAAAAGTATCATTTTTTGCTTTAAAATGTAATGAAATAAAAGTAAAAGTAGCTATTTAAAAAAATAATAATGCCCCAAAGAACTACTTAAGTACTGTAACGAAGTAAATGTACTTAGTTACTATAAACCTCTGAATTTAAAGTTAAATTATTTTGTTTTGGAATTGTTACTGAAAAACAGACGAGTGATTTCGTACCCATGTGGAGCCCATCTTCATCAGGGTCATCGAGCACCTGCAAGACACATCAACTCACCTGTTTTACTCTGAATTAAGTTGTAGTTTTCTATCATAGAAACAGTTTTTAGACTTCAGAGGGCTGTGCAAAAATCTTGAGTTATCTCTCAAATCTTTACATTTTACTCCCCAGGAGGCAGACTTTCTCACAGTAAAGTGGTCCGGATCAGAAGTTTTTCAGACTTTCTAAAAAGATTGGCTAACAAGCTAAGCCAATTGGCTAATTGGCTAACCAAAGAGTTGGTTTTGTTTTCAAACTTTTGTGGCTTTTTGACCATTTTTACTGTTTTTGCCGTGTGTCGACAAATGTAGCAAACAATAAAAAATTAATTTAGACTGAATTATTTTGACACTTTGTTACCAGAAGCTTGTCACATTTTCCCATTTCTTTAGAAAAAAGATCAAAAAATTTGACAAACACCTTGATAAGAAAATTTCCAAAGAGCTGAAACTCCTGAAAATTTGACAGATGTTGCATTTCTCAGGTTCTGTATAATTTCTTTAGGCTTAATTCTTTTTGGGTTGCCCCTTACTTGCTCACTTTCCTAATATTTGAAAGCACAAACTGCACAAGTTGTCACAAAGTGAACAGAAAATGATCAAAAGGTCTAAAGAAAATATCACTGAAGGACCTTCAGAAAGCCTGGAGGATCATTTGTTTTCGTTTTTCACAATAAAAGTTTTCTGTGATTCCTTTATTTACTTGTGTTTCCAGTGTTTTCCTTCTGGTCTTGCCCCGCCCACTCTCACCTGTTCCCTGCTCCATCTTCCAACTCTCTCTGGTTCTCCCTCAGTTGAGCATTATTAATTCTACAGCTTTTTGCTTTAGTCTTATAATATATGTGTTTATTTATGAGAACCTCCTACCGACTGTGATAGATCAAGACCACTTTACTATAAAACAACAAAGTCTAGCTTTTTGAGAGTAAAACAAAAGATTTAATCAACTTTTAAAAGTGAACACGCTGTCATCTGACCGACCTCCACCAGTTTGACGACGTTGGGATGGTCCAGCTTCTTCAGGATGGCGATCTCCCTGTAAACTCTCTCCAGAGGCTGCCAGGCTTTACAGAAGAGGTCGGAGTTGGACCCCGACGAAGGTGGACGGCCTGTGAGCACACAAATGACCGTCAGCGCCATCGACACAAAACCGCACACCGCGGAGAATCGTTTCGTTTCACTCACGTAAAAATCCACACTGCTTCAGCAGCTTCTTCTTTGACACCACTTTCATGGCCTGAACAAATAAAATAAAAGCTGTAAGTGATTTTTTTTTTAACAGGGACGTTTTAAAAGCTCAAACTTACGTAGTATTGTTCAGAATCTTCATTCCAAGCTAATTTCACCACTCCATATGAACCCTACAGTGCAGAAATACCAGATTTATATATCGTCTCATTTTTTTTACTTCAGTGTCGGGATTGATCACCTTTCCAATCTCTGTCTTCAGTTTGTACTGGTTCATTTGGATACAGTCCTGGAAGGATAAAAGAAACATTTCAAGCCTTGAATTAAGAGCTGGTTTATAGAGAGTCAGCTGATGGCCTCCTCACATCGATGTCTGTGATGGACACTCGTTTGGTCTCGATGGTGGGCTGTCGGGGCAGGCGGCTCCCCCGCTCCTGCAGAGACATTTTCCTGCCGTAGAGCTGAGACCTGGGCGCCATCGACCTGAAGCCGTTGGGAGGGGTCGTGCGGTTGGCGGCCACGTTCATGGCGGCCACGATGTCCGCCAGCTCGCCGTTGTTCTCCGGGTCCAGCTCGACCCTGCAGGCGGTGTCGGCGCTCATGGCTGGTTTCCCCTCGCAGCTGGACGTCTCACAGGTGGGCTGGTGGAGGGGCCGGAGGCTGCATCACTGCACTGAGAGGTGAGAGGACGTGATGGAGGTGATGGACTGAGAGAGAAAATCCAGACTTTTAAACTTTTTTCTAAAAGCTGGTGGTTTATATGGAGGACCGAAACTGACATAATTAAAATAAAATCAGAAATGTATAAAAGAACCGATGAATAAATAAATACACTTAAAATGCAACAATTAAGTTAAAAAGCACTGTACTTCATGTTTTATAATTTAATTTAATTTCATATTTATTTTTCCAGCTCAATTCCAATAATTTATATATTTTAGCACATAATTTACATTTTATGTTTTTAAAATATACATTTTATTTTCCCTTTTACTTGTAGATGCATCTGTCTCTTAAAAAATAATTTTTAATGATTTTTAAAATATTTTTTAAGGTTTAAACTGTTAAAAACAAAAGGCACAGGTAAGTGTTTTCCTCATTGTTTTTGTTTTAAACTAAATTTTAAACTGTAAGCTAAACTGAAGCAGCAGCAGCATGCATAGTCGATCTGCACATGGATCCTGCTCCTTCCTGTCTGTTGACCAATAGGAGAGGCCGTGCCCACCTTATTTGCATAATGAGGCAGAAATGAATAACGTGAAGTAAAAACAGGAGACAGAGAAATGTAAAAGCAACACATGGAAATAAAAAAAGACTTGTGGGAAAAATTTATATTAAAAAAATTAAATATAATCATTTAAGAGACATAAATGCATGTACAAGTAAAAGGGAAAACTATGTAAAATATATATTAAAAAAACATTAAAATTTAAATTATGGTTTAAATAAATAATTTATTGGAACTAAGCTGGAAAAATAAATATGAAAGTCAATTAAATTATAAAACAKGAGRTAAAGTTCTCCTTTTTWAATTTAATTGGTGCATTTTATGTGTATTTATTTATTTATTTTATTGGTCCATTTATATATTTCAGCTTTTTTTTCTAATTATGTCAGATTCTGTCCCCCACAGTTTAAGCTTGGAACTAATTTAAAAGTCAACCTAGAATTTCTAGAACTGTAGTGATTATAAGAAATACAAACTCAAAACTGCCTCAGGGAACGTCATGTTCCAAACGATGGATCCCTGAATCCTTAAAACGCTTGAATTTACATTAAAGTCTGGTTAAAGACTCAATATGATTCATTACATCTATAATAAATGTTTTTTAAAGTATTTTGTGGCTCCATGTTGAGCTGTTAAATTTATGATCTCTCTGCTAAAGGTCATTCAGGCTTTAATTCAAAAACAAAAGCAGGAAATTAAATGTTTTTGATCAAAAGGTGCATTTAAACACATGAATTACGTATTTCAAGATGCACACTTCCATTTATCTGGCTTAGTTTTAACACTTCAATCTGTATATTATGTTCATAGCACAACAATACATCATTTCTGCACTTGCTGTTTATTTTACCTGTAGTTAGATGCCAAACTGCATTTTGTTGCCTTGTACTTTTACATATTTAATGACAATAAAGTTAATCTAATCTAATCTAAAATCTAAACAAGGCAAATTAACAAAGGATTAAAAATCACAGAGTAACAATTACTAAAAAAGATCTTTCTGCCTGATAATAAATGATGGTTTTAGGATATGACCTGATAAATTTGCTGGTATATGATACATATAACACATAACAAATACCATTTCAGACACGATTAAGTGTTCCACAAAACAAGAACCTGAAACTACAGCAAGAACTTAAACAGCCAATAAAAATTTTTAAACAGGTGTATCAGCCAAATGTCTCACCTGAAAACGTCAGCAGAATAAAAACGTAGCAGAACAAATAAAAAAGAAAACATCCGGTAAACAGGACATTTTGTCCTGTGACAACAGTGTAGTAAATAAGATTCAGCTTCGATTGAGTGAGACTCCCTGTTGCCTAAAATACAATACAGAGAACTGAAAAGCCTCTTATGTCACAGAGGAAAGCTTTAACAAGATTTTAAAATCACAATTTAGAGCTCAGGACTCTCACTACGAGCACACACAGGGTCATTACAGATTTACCTTGTTACAACAGGTAAACCTATTAGGGACGTTAAAAAGGAGAAACAGGAGAGTCTGACATCTTTTTTAATTTTAAAGAAATCACACTAATGAAGTCCAGAGAGAAATGATTTACTCACAGAGGAGATACGTCCTGTTTTCAGAGCCGAGCTGATGAATCTGCATCCGGTCGACGAGGAGAAGCTCCACTCAGTCTGCGGGACGTTCACCGAGGAGCAGCCTGGGACATCAGCAGCGTACGTCTTAGGGATTAACTCAGACTACATATAGATGGAGTTATCCTGAGGACGGCCGGACATGTTGACGAGCTGCACAATGGAGGAGACACTGATCAACAAAACGCTCAGCGTTACGTCACACAGAGAGGACTCCGAGTTCAAACTGAAAATATAAACAGAACTATAGGCAGTTTTATGGGATTTTTGTTTGATTTAATTATTGATCTCTCTTATAATGAACTTCGACATTTTAAGCTGAATATATAAAATAAATCATCAAATATTTTGAATAGAAAGAGATATGACTAACTTTGTACTTCAGACAACACATTACTACATGTATTTGTCAAATACTGTTTATTTTGTGTTATTGACTGAATTACTACATATACATATAAATACACATTTACCTCTGTAAAACCTGACCTGTATGTCATAACTATAACTGTATGTTTACCAGACACTGTATAACTGTATGTTAGCCTGACAGATGAGTTTGCTCCAAACTCTTGTGGCTTCCTTGAGCGTTGATCACACAGCCCTGCCTGAAAAAAGCAAAAACAGGATTATAACACTGTGCTTTACATGAACTACCAGAAGTCTCTGTGATTACCTGCAGTCTGGTTTGTGTTTGTTTTACTTCCTAATTCTTCTGCTAATGGTTCTAAATACAAGTCTCCCAGTAATCAAACAGACAGCTTCTGGTTCAGACCGGTTAGTGTTGCTGTGATTCAGAAACATCAGGAGTCGTGTATTTACTTACCGTCTTGACATTGTTCCAAAGAAGCAGTTTTTAGTCAGAATCAACAGACAAAGGGTTTAAAGAGGTGAAAAATCAACATTTTATTTATAAAAATACAAAATCTAACATTTAATTTACATGATTGTTTAGATGAAGATCAGGAAGCAGGACTATGGTCAAAATGAGCTGAGAATATTTTTGCTATTCTTTCTGTTTCTTTCCTCATGGATGAAGGTGACATGTTGGGCCGGTGCCGAGGACGTCTGCGAGGCGGGACGAGGCCATGATGTGAGGAGTTCTGGCCCTGCAAAAAGATAAAATAAAATAAAACACAAATAAATAATAAAATTAAATCACAACAGGAGTTAAACATAACATGTTTTATTTAGTTAAAGTGAAACAAAGTTTTTGTTGAATGTTTTACCTGCAGTTCAGGAAACATAAAACAGACATTAGTGATGAGCTTGAACTGAAATGAGATTGTTGGTGATTTTCCAGCATGTCTGAGGCAAACAAATGACTACAGTCTTAATTTTGTTTGTACTACGGTGTTTTGATTATGATCATCATGTAATTGTTATGTGTGTGTGTTTATTAACAAATATTTCATGAACCACTGAACAGATTTTAATGAAAATAATTATTTAATATCAACAACTGATTAACTTTTGGTTTCAACTTGTTTCAAGTAGGGATGCACGATATGTCAGCATTAATATCGGTATCGGTCTGATACAGTATGTAAAACTGGGCTGATATTGATTTCTCACTTAATTATAATATATATATATATATATATATATATATATAGTAATAATTATATCAGATATCGATACCAGCTGCGATCTTCATATCGGTGCATCCCTACTTTCAAGACGAACACCACAGATAATCGGCATTGAAAACACAGAAATGACCATAACTCTGTAATTTTTATAGATACTGAGCTAAAATTTAGTGTGGTAGTAGCTGAGAGTTATGTCTAAAAAATACTCATTACGCAACATCTTTGCTTTGTTAAATCACAAAAATCTTCAGTTTGAAAATTTGCAAAAGGCTTGAAATTCTAATATCGCCATTGCATTTAACACAACAAAAAACAAATATTGTAGCTTTTCAAACAGTTTACAGAGAGTAAAACAATAAAAACTATCTGTTAACAGCTGGTAAGAGACTGCTCATAGTGAGGGAGCTAACTGTGAACAGGAACATTTCTGTAAGTCTCCGCTGACAACAAAAAGATACGTTTTACCCAGGTGAAACAAAGAATCTGAAAAGCATTAACAGAAAAGCGTAAATGTCATCAGTAGAAATGGTGATGAATACTCACAGACTCTAGGGTTTTGGAAAAAGACGGCGCTAAACGAATGACTCTCAACGACGCCTCGAGTTGGTGAGAGGGGAGGAAGAAATTAGGGACTTCCAAAGGCAGAGAGCTTCATGAAGAACGTTAAAAAAATAAAAACATGGAGTTTGATGACATCCTACTAACTAATTACAACTATTTGTTCTTTTATCAGAATACAGCAGTTTGGCACCAATGTTCTTTTTTAAGGTTCTTTATAAAAAGAGGTGTATTTCAAAAAAATTACTAAAAATTATTAATAGAATAAAAACTTCTCCAATACATGAAGCAAAATACAAGTTTTGTTTGTGATTAATGTTTAAAATACTGTAGTTATTTTAAAACTTCTCACTAAATCAATTACAATTATTTTGTTTGAACAGATAAATTTAATAAAATCTGGTCCAGCCACAGCAGCCAAATAAAAACAGCAGAAATAACATTTAAAACCCAGTTTAATGAACAGATTAAGGATACGTTTGGAGCTCTGTATCTTCGCTGTCTTGAGGTCCTGAGACATCAGGAGTGTCAGGGTCAGGTGGGGGCGTTGCTGATGAATCGGAGTCCACTGAGCTCTTGTCGGGGCTGTTTGGTTTTAACTCAGCTTCTCGAAGCGTCCCTTCGTTATTTCTCTCCGTGTCTGAAGGTTCTCCGTCTGAACCATCGCAGCTGTGAGCTCTGTGTTCTCCTTCAGAGCCGAGTCTTTTCTCACCCTCAGCCTCACTCAAATCTGAGTCTTTTGGTGCCTCAGTGCTCTCCACAGAAACCAGCTCAGGGTCTGACAGGATGCTGGTCCAAGGGCTGGTTCTGTCCGTTAACGAGGTCACCTCGTTAAGAGGTCTCGGATTCAGCACAACCTCCTCGTAATCCTCGTACTCCTCTTCTTCCTCGTCCTGCCTGAAACTCGTCTCCTCTTTCTGTTCATCTTCTGAAATGTTGCTGTTTTGTCCGTCCTTTTCTTCCTCGGGCTCAGAGTTCGTGTGGTCCTCAGACATCTCTGTGGGCAGCGACGGGAGAGGTGACACGACGTCGATGACTCCGTGTGGGCTGGAGATGCTCTCGGGGATGATCTGAGGGCTGTCGTGTTCTACAGGCGGGCTCATCGAGCCACTTAGTGCGTTAGAAGGGATCGTTTCCTGGTGGTGTCTCTTCAGACCTGGAAATCAACCAAAATAAACAAAAAACTACAGTAAATCTATAGAAATGCTTGGGTCAGATGGCAAAAATTTTAAAAATTTTAATAGTTAAATGTTCAAATCCAAATCTTCTAACTAATATACTGCAAGTTTTATAGTTTTTACACAATATTTTTTACCAGATGCTGATGAAGAAGAATCTATCAGCATCACCAGGAAATCAATCAGTCTAACATTAGGAAAGAAGCTCACCACTGATGATGTCGTTGACTTCTCCTACTAACTGGTTGGACTTGAGAAGCAGCTGACTTGTGTCGGTCTCTGAGTTCCTCGTTGCCTCAGCTTGGGTGTGCCGGTCCTGCTCAGTCATGGATGGAAACAAAGGAGTCGAAAGCTTTTGATTGAAGTATTTCTGAATGTTGTCGAGCTCGCCTAGTTTTCTCCTGTAAGACAAAAATAAAGAATGTTGCTGCTGAATTTAAGGTTTAGTTGTATTTATTAAAAACAAACAATATGTTTGAATACCTGAGGGCTGAAAACAACACGGAGCTGGAAGGATTAACGTCACTGGCTGAGGTGCTGCAAACAGAGTGAGAGGCTGACTGTTCTTGCAGACTCTGATGGTAAAATCTGACCTTGTCCATGTGCTGAGAGTGACGCTCACTCTCACCGGGCCTGCTGTACATGTTACATTCATATATAAATGAAGAGGAAGTGAATCTAAACAGATAAACATGATGTAAACGTGTGAATAAAAACCTTTCAGAGAACAGCCTGTCTGTGTGACTGGGTGAGGAGATCTTCTGCTCGGGGAATCTGCTGATGTGGGAAGGAAAGCTGCTGTACATGGCTGTGGTTTGGTAGCTGAGAGGAATGCCCTGAAACAAACAAATATTAGCTTGTTGTGGGGGAAAAACAAACAAACATAACAAGATTGTCTTTAAAACAGAACTCTCACCGGTGAGTGCGTTGCAGCTTCTTCAGAAACCGTTTTTCTCTGCCCGCGCAGCTCCTGGACTCCCTTCAGAGGAGTTACGGACACTTTAATCTGACCGTGACACTGGCCGCTGAAGTCTGTGATGTTGTACCAGCCGCACACCGACGAGAAACCGCAGAGTAATGGAGAGAGGTCCACGCAGGCAAACCCAATCACCCGCTCTATTTCTGTGGGTGGAAACGACGCAGGTGTGAATCGACGCACAAAACAAAGCTGAACACATCGCGAACAGATTCTCGCCGTACCTCCTTTGTGCCAGACTTTCAACACAAAAGATTGTTGTGGATCAACCAGCAGCTCCTTGGAAAGTCTGGAAACGAGACAGAAATGCATCTTCATCTGAGAAGCTGCGTGAACTCCGAACAGAGGACGGCGACGCTACCTGCACTCGCGTTGGTGGTCCCACACAGGACAGTGGGAGTTGGCCACGACAGCCGTGGACACTGGTTCAGCAGAATCAGCTGTGACGTACGAAACGCAGCAACAAGGTGCTTCTTCACTGCGCTCTGCTAGAGGACAACCTGCAGAAGAAACAAACACTTAAACTGCCTGTGACATCCAATTTTTGTAATAAACATGAACGCATTTTTGGAAAGAGAACATGGATAACATACTGCAAAACAAATTTCACACCGTTGAGATGAACAGTTGTTGAGATATTTGCATGTAAAGAAACAGGAAGTGATGTCAAAGGGGAATGTCTGTATGCACACAGAGCAATGCTACAATAATTAGAGAAGAATCTGATGTTTCTTTAGATTATTTTGAGTCACTATCAGAGTTGAAGCAGAATTTAAATAAGATTGTTTCAATAAACAAAGACCAGAGAGTTTCTTCTCTTAAAGAGTTCCCCTTTGATGTCACTTCCTGTTTCACTATGAGCCAAATTCAAGAGGGAATATGCCAGTTCTGAGACAAAATGGGAAAAATCATGTGTATTATGCTAATTTTCTTAAATACCAATGTTTTCTTTTAGTTAGTTTTAATTTAGTGAAGATTTTAATAATGAAGGTTTCAGTTTGAACGCTCACCCTTCAGATTTAGATGCATGGCCCGGTCCACTGCCACGGTCACAGAGAAAGACTCGTCCACAGTCAGCTCTGCCCGATGCACAGACGTGATGTCTGGAGTCGCTCTGAAGGATCCACCCTTCTGTCTGCTTGGTGTGTGTGATTTCCCGTGCGAACCGGAGGAACGGTCGTGATCTGTTACTTCCACTTCCTGTAAGGAAAGCTCCTCCTGACTGTCGGAGTCCACCTGCGTGTCGCATTCAGCCAACGTGTTTGCAGGAACAGAACCAGCCGTCAGGACGATGTGCACCCTGAGAGCTGCACCTTGTAGATCGGCCGCGGAGCGCATGAAGAGCGGGTACATCCCTGCAAAACCACACATTTTACACATTAATAAATACATTAATTTAAGCAATAATTACTGCTGAAATTGACAAAGTTGTCTCATACCACTGAGAGTCAGCTTCGGCTTTGGAGTCTTTGCAAGAGAGGACAGATTGACAAACGCTGAGCCCACCAGTCGGTCTGAGTCACTCGGCCTCACGGTCCTGTTTTTATTGAACGTCACCCACAGCTGCACCTCCAGCCTCTCCTCTCGCAGGTACCACTTTAAAGGCTGAGTCAGTCTGACATCCACAGTCCTGCTGCCTTCAAAACTAACCGTGGCTCGGCTTCCCCGCCCATCTTCCTCGACGCAGGGATGTTTCAGCACGGAGCAGAAGGCGTCCTGGTCGAAGAACTTCCACCTGAGGTAGCAGTAAGTGGGGCGCTGAAGCTCGCTGAGGCCCGGCGGAAGCAGGCAGTGGACCGGCAGCCAGGCTTTAGGTACTGAGAACGTCAGGGAGAGTTTTCTCGGGCTTTCTTCCCAGCGTTCTTCATCGTGGTCACGGTGGGGGGGCTCCCAGCCCAAGTCCCGAGCAGCTTTAACGACCCTTTCTCTGTCTGAGGGATGAGCGAAGCTGATGGAAATCTCAAGGCCTCCAACCAAAAGGTCCTGATGCTGAGGGCTTCTGTCTAGAGTTGTATACAACCCAAACCAGCCAGAAATACCTGCATGATGCAAAAATAAAACTTCAGCAGTAACAGTTAAAAACATTTGATTCAACTCACATGAAAAAACTGCGTACCTGTTATTTTATAGATCAGATCTGCCAGCGGTACTTTCACTGTTCCCAGCATCACCTCATCAGGATTAGAGACATTCACTGCCACAACAAAAAACAATATAAAGAAAAATATAAAAAGTCAAATAGGAACTGGATGAATTTTTCGACGTGTGAAGCAGAACGGTGCGTCTCAGACCTTTGTGGCTTCCTCTGTTCCAGACAGTGAAGACAGCAGAGGCTCGTTCCAGCTGCTCAGCCAGGCTGCAGGTTTCCCCGCTGCTCATGCGCAGCAGCAGGTCACAGGAAACCTCCATGTGGTAATCAAACTCAGGGCAGAAGGTCCTGGCTGCGGTCCGGGTACACTTCCTCTCACTCTCGGGTAAAAAGGAAAGCTGAACCGTCACAAAAGAGTTCACTCCGACGTCTGCAAAGTGGCTGAACTTTTCATTTTCTTCTGATATCGCTCTGAAAGGGATGCAGCAGCAAACAAAATGGCAGGAATTAGGAGAGAAAATACAGAATCTAGATGTTTTTTTTCCAAACAGAGTGACCCCCTTTCTACAACACATCGCTCAATTCTTTTATCCCTAAAGTCTGTTACAAACCAACATGATTATTTTCATGCATATGATCTCTTAAATGCTGTTATTTTGTCTGCAACACTAGAAGTGGTACCTCGCTGCTGCCTTCAGCCCAGCTGCTCTGTGCACTTCAACCACAACAGTGACAACACGGGAAGCAGCTCCTCTAACAGCCTTTCCTTCAGCTCTCACAGGCCTGTGCTTGTAATGAACGTACACGTCTAGAAGGCCTGAGAAACATCAAAACAAGTCTCAGTCTTCAGATGCTCATTGTGTGTTTATTACACCACGTGTAATGATGTGTACCAGAGGGCTGAGGCTGAAATCCTGTGGGACCCTCGGTTCTGGGAATCAGGGGCAGGGAGAACATCTGGGCCTGGTTAGGATGTTGTCTCTGCATGGTGACCATGGCACAGAGTTTAGACAGAGGAAGCAATCCTTTGGCTACAAGCTGATCTCTGACGTTTGGATAATAATATCTGCAGAAAAACACATTCATTATTAATTGATTAAACATAAATGGAGAAACTGGAGAAAACTTATTTTTATAAATCTATATTTTTCTGTGAAATCCAACATTTCATTTTATTTTATTGGACCACAAAGTACGGACCACGAACCTGCACCACACTTCAAACAGGATGCCCCCTCCATCACTAAGACCCTGAGCTGACAAAGAGCTGAGCAGCAGCTTCTGGACAGGAACTCCTTCAGGGGCCAGAAGAACATGAGTCTCAGCGTGACCGAACATCATGTCAGGAACACAGAGGGTGGTGGTGGTGCGAAACGGCTTCAGGTTTGAACCTGTTGGGAGGATAAACAAAGATTTTAAGGTGATTTGGAACAAACAGATGTGTTGAGTTGAAGGCTTTTTATGAATAAACAAGCTTACTGCTTTCTATGAGGCTTTGGTCCATATCTGCAGCAACGTCACCCTCCTGGCAGGGAAAACTGTACTTGACGTAGCAGTCAGCCTCCCCCCACACGGTGGACTGCAGAGGCATCAACCCACTGACCTTCTCCACTCTTATTACAAACACGTGCTCTGTCATAACCTCCACTTGTGACGTTTTCACCTGAAAGACCAAGAAGACCGAGTGCATTTGTTCAGACACGCTCAGAGAGGGAAAAAAAAGATTGTCATTTAAGAACAAACGAAATTATTTGTATTTTTTAATGTAATGTAGGAGTAAGGAAGGTGATGCAGCAAGCCTAATCATAGACTTTTAACAGGAAGGTTTCTGGATTCTGCTGACAAAAACTAAAAAACACTGACCTTCGTTTGCGAGTGTGACTGGTGATCAAGCATATGGACAGGTCTCACCAAATGAGACAAAAAATGACACTCGTCATCCCTGGTGCGCTGCAGGGAAATTATCTGCTCCGATCGACCCATAGCTAAAAGAACCCTGAGGTTTCCTCTACAGCTTCCTGAGAACACATCGATGACAGGCATGTGGCTGTCCACCCCTACAACAGGGTACTGCGCCTGCAGAAGCAGCTGGCTGATCTTTGGGTCCCTGGAGGTGACAGGAAGATATCAGAAATGATTGCTCCTATTTATTAACCTTGTGTTTCTTTAAAAAAACATTTATAAATTGAAAATTAAAAAGGTGGTAATTTCTTGTTTTACCTGAACGACATGTAAAATTGGTGTAGAGGTAATTTAACGAGGCCAAAGAGTCGATCCAGACTGGACTGTCCTGTTTTCTGCCACACTTCGATCACCATCACGTTATTCTTCATCCGCTCCAGAAGTTTGGTTGTTAAGGCCACTGGTGTCACCTGTTACACAAACAAATGAAAGAAGCTGCTATTTTACCTAAATAATGTCATTTTAATTTACAAATATTTATTATGTGCTTTTCTTTACATTTTAAATGAACTAACAACCTCCAGATGATGTTTAATTTTATAGACACAAGCACTCAGCTGAAGGAGGTTAGACGCAGAGGACTTCCTGAACCAACCTGAACAAAGTTAAAAGTCGGGTTTGTCTGAGCCCAGCTGACAGCAGATCTTGCCGTCTCATCAGACCAAAACAGTTTACAGTTCAAGTAGACATTTGGAGCCTGCAGAGGCCCGCAGCTGAAGTTCTTCCCGTCTGGAACCATGAGCAAGGCGTGGAGCAGGACCTCAGGATCCTCCTCCAGCCAATGGGGTGATTTAAAAGGAGACGTTTGGACCCCAGGATGAGATGAGGGCTCCTCTGAAGGTTTCTGAGGAGTCCAAACATTCAGTCTAGAGCTGTCCGAGAACGCCTCCCTTCCAGTGTCGGCACGCTGGGGTCTAGAAACAGTTTCTCTCTCAGGACTGGGCGGAATCTGTAAAGCTGACGTGTCTTTCCAAGTCAGTTTTTTATTCTTTTCAGAGGAGACATTTATGCTGTGTGTTCCCAGCTCTATGGAAACCTGTAAAAAATATAAATTTATGTGAATTCTGTAATATTTGCTTTTGTTATATAAAATAAATTGTGTTCATAAACCTAAAATCACCTTGAGAGGTCCCATCTGCTGTGTTTGATGGAACCTCTCGGAGCTCTGCACAGGAACTACAAGCGACTGATGGAGCTCTTTGCTCTGCAGCGAACAGCGGAGAGGGTGAACTGCCTTACCGACGGCCACAGGCTGCAGAAACACAAGTCAACAAGTCACTGCTTTAGCTTTAATGAGGCAAAACAGTGTTTCTACATATACACACTCAGCTGTACTAAAAACATAAGCGGCATCGAGTCTAGAGCTACTAACTTTTTTCTGATTGTTTGTCCGTGAGTAAATCGTAAAGATCAGATCAGTTTCCCACCACCGTCTGATCGCTGCTGTACTGAAGCGGACCGGAAACACCGAGACCTGATGGAACTTCACAGCTACAAAAACACAGAGGAGTTACAAAAAATGTTATGATGTACAGTAAACACAAAACAGTAAGTTTCCATACCTCCACTGATAACTTTACTGGAAACAGCTCTGGTCACCTCTTCACTTCCTGCCTTACTGCGATCAGGATGATTGGAAGCTGAAGTCTTTGGGAAAACGTACTCAACAAAATACGTACTGGAAAAATAAGTCATATTTATTGGTTACAAATGATGATAAACTGTTTTCAGTCCCATTAAAAAGCATCTCAGATGTTTTACCACTTCTGGCTGGATAATGATCGCGGCCGTTTCCCTTTAGCAGCTTTTCTGATGTTTGAGCCGCCTGCAGGCAACATCAAGGAGTCGATGGTCACTTTTACAAATCGAATTAAACTCAGCAGAGAGAGATGATCCACGCTGAGCGGAAGATGGCTGACATCACTACGGTCTGCAGATTGTTGACAATCTGGATTTAGACTAAAGAAAGACAAATTAAGGGTCAAAACTGCTTTAAGGATATTAAAAACACATCTATTATAAATGATTATTGAGAACTTTAAGGAGGAACAAAACACATAAACACACACATATGTGACCCATCATATCAAAACGAGGATTAAGTCCAAAAGTGGAATGTGGAAAAACGGGCAGATATAGTGTTAAGATTTAAAAGTGTGCAAAAAATTCATTTTGTTAAAATATAATGAATCAATGCCTTATCATTGTATCATTTGAATGAACTGTCTGAAACATAATCATAAATTTTTTGGAGCCATTTCTTTGAGCAGCAGCAACAGAAAACCTGATTTTGAGGAAAAATGCTTTAAAATTTTAAAATTTTCCCTGTGAGCTAGAAATGTTTCCGTTTCTTTCCAACTGGGAAATCTTAATATACAAATACTATATGAAGTTTCCTCTTTATATTAACATCAAAAATGAGTGAATAAATTTACATAAAATTAGCATTCAGACCAAACAGTAATGTATTAATGTAACCAACAAGACAAATTCAATCATATCTCTGGATAAGTTTATGATATCAGAATGATCCAGGTATCAAAATATAGCTTTTAAAGCCAGGAAACTGAAAATGTAATTAGGTCATTTTTGACCAAATTTGACTTAATCCTCATTTCAATATGACGGGTCACACATGAGATCAAGATGTTTGCTTCTTACCTTTCATTGGGTCCAGAATGTGTCAGCTTGTTTGCTGGATTCTCAGCTGTTAATTTTATTTTTTGACCCTCCTTGTCAGCATCATCTGGATTAGGATCTGAATTCTGAAACAAACACCTTCAATGAAACTTCTTCTAAAGAATTTAAAAAAAGAAACAACTTAAAGTTATCTACTTACAGGAGTTTTGTAGAACAGGTTTTCCAGTAAGCTTTGATCGTACAGAGGATCGCTGAGCTCGCTGTCTCCACACAGGCTGCTGTGGCCAGAGAGGGAGTCAGGGGGGGAGCCTTGTAGACCCCAGAGCGGCGCTGAAGATGTGACAGGGCTGCAGAAAAATAAACAAACTTTAAAATAGAAACACTTTTTTGTTTTTGTCAGGGTTTGATGTAAATGTAAAAAGCGCGTACCTGCCGAGGAGCAGCTCCACAGCTCTCCTGTCCATGTCAGCGGGACAGCCCAAGCAGCTGTCTGCGGCTAAAGCTGCGTCATCAGACGGCTTCTGAGCTGAATCTGCGTGAAGGATGTCTTGAAGGAACATACCAGCAGGAGAAGGAAAGGACCTGCAGACAAACGGCTCTAGGTTTTAGACTGACATAATAAATGGGTTGAATATGCAAACGTTTCATTTCACTGAACAGAAATAAAAACACAGACTTGTCAGGAAGTTGAATGTTGTCCGTAGGGAGAGGCAGAGGACTTTCTTTCAGATGTGGAGCGGAGTCCACGTCACATTTTAAAGCTGACGCAACCATTGCGTTTCTGAGCTTGTTTCCACGCTCCAAAATAACTGAGATAACAAAAGTACTGACTGTAAATACTTCCCATTTATAGAAATGTGCATTCATCTTGTTATAATGTTGTGACTCACCTGAGATTATATCATCTGATGGATGAAGATGGGAAGAGTTCTCAGTCGAGTGATTGACAACACCTCGACTGATGAGAGATTTGTTTGAGGTAGGAATCTGGTTCTCCACTGCCTCTTTGTCTTTTTGGACATTTTGGAAATACAGGTGGTCTTTTCCTCTGGAAATGTTAAAACAACCAGTTTAATATGGGTTAACACAAGAGATCTGCAGGGATGTTTGGGTGTCAGCTGGTCAGAACCTCGGTGTGTTTCTACCACTGCTCCCAGCTGATTCTTTCCCGCTGCCAGCTGAAGGGGATCTGTGGTGTGAGGGCACAGTCAGCGTGGTCCCATCGGTGACGGCGTCTGTGGCGGGACCTGAGCTGCTGCTGTCATAGGCTTCTGTCAGGGGCTCCAAACTCAGGGAAACCTGGGAGTTAAACAAAATGTTTAGATGTGAACAGAAAACCAAGAGGACGCCAGATAAGCCAATAACATTGTTACGGTCTATTTATATCTAAGTGCTGATGTTTGTTTGTTAATACCTCAATTTTAAAACAAATACATTAAATAATACAAAATACATGCATTCATCGTTGCTAATGAAACAGTTCAAACACAATTAAAAAAACACAAAAATCAAATCGTAATAAGCTAAATTAATATTTTTACTCACTTGCACCTCTCCTAGCTTGTCAGATGTTGGGGAAACAAGAGTGTAAAATCCACTGATTGGTTGCGACAGAGATAGACGGGAGATACCAGCAACTTGAGCCCGAGCAATTGGTAGATGATCTGGTTTTGTCAGGACTTCAAGCACCAAAGAGCCCATATCTGTTAAAAAGTACTTGCTGATTAAAAGAATGCAACAACGTCAATGAAGCACGTTTACGTCTTTGTAGTTACCTGTAAGATACGACGTGAACTGTTTTGGCCCGCAGCGGATGGGGAAATGAGCTGTGGTCTTGATGTTTTTTTGAGAAAGTTGTGATCCATCTCTGGGAAAGAAGTGTGTCCCACTGGACGACTCTCCCCACCAGCGCAGCCTGATGAACGTTGGAGGTGGAGGCTTGTGAACGGTCCATAACACCCGGCTTATCGTCACGCGCAGGAAGCACCTCAGCTGGCCCTCAACGAGAGGTGGGAGGCTGGTAGATGGGGGCACATCACTGGGGGCTAAAAGATTGTATTTTGAAACAAACCAAAGCTGCATTCAGGTAATAAAAATACAGAAATTCATCATTTTGTTTATTGCTTTATGAAAAGCATAAAGAAAGGAGAACTTGGAAAATTAATTGCAGTCATTTCTAAACACAATTTACAAGCCTTATCAGTGTGCAAAAACTCCATTCATTGTACTGTTATAACTATAATTTAAATACCATCAATACATTTTAATGGAAAATATAATCAGTGTTTTGTTACACAAATAAATTAATGTCATGTAGGTAATGAGGTGCCTCGCATAGCATACAACCTAACAGATAAAGTCCCTCAACTTCTTTCTGATTTATTACTAAACTACAGCACATTATGTGTACAGAACGCAAAATAAATGAATGTATGTTTACTGAATGTCAAAAATAGAAATGGATAATAATAATAATAATAA